ATATTTTTTGTTTTTTTTTTGCGGGGGGGGGGGGGCATGAGGGTTTTTCAAAAATCAGAAAGGGGGCATGATGCCAAAAAGTTTGGGAACAACTGCTATAGGGGATAATTTGAAAATAAAAGAAATTGTCCTTCCATAACAAGAGTTACATCTATCTTAAAGGGACAGGGCCAACTATTTATCCTCTCATAAAGTACGTGGAATTTAAAACTGTGGATTATATTCCTTAATATCATATGGCATTTTAAAGAAACCAACAATCCCTCAGTTCTGAGTTGCCCGCCTCCCTTCTCTCCCAGCAACAGCTGAGCCAATGGACCTAGAAGATCAATCAGGACTGTCAGGAGCTCTGGGACATAGGAATGGGGGTTAGGACTTGCAGGTGGAATGATGAATTGGGAGGATTCTTAACTGATGCTAATATGGAGGGATGTGTGTGGTAATGGCAGAGCAGTCCCCTTCACTGAAGCTGGGAGTGGGGAGGAGGAGTTGATAAAAAGTTGAAGTAAATCACCTTTCCCATCCCCCATTTGATCACTGAACTGGTATGTGTGTGTGGAGGGGGTGAGTAAGATATTGGGGGAGCCAGGTTTGAGAGCAATCAGAACGTGCTCAGTTTAACGGGAAATAGTTGTTAGAAGATTGGAAGCTCCACCACAGGCACTAATCAAGCATAGTTCAGGCCTCACAGGCAAATCAGGAAGGGACTTCTTGAGTCTAACAAACTGACAGGTCTCTCTACAGCTGACTCCTCTCTAATTGGGGAAAGCTGATTCTTCTGTTTTTACTATGTTCCATTACTGGGGGGAGGAAACCCCTCAGTTGTAGTTAGACACTACCTTTGGAACTAGCATCCTTTACTGAGCAACTTTCCTTGTGTACTCTACCAGCTGTAATGATTTTAGATTTACCTTAAAAGAAATAAAAGGAAAATGATTGGTGTCTTTGCATTGCCTCTCTTGATTGGATGTTGCTGAGTATCACATGTTCAGGACTTCTTTAAAAGGAAGCTATTGCATGTTATACCTCATAATAGCTTCTGGTTTTCTAGTGAGAATAGTTGCTTTGTAATATTAATTACACTCTTTATCATGTGTGAGCTATTTTTAGGAACCTGGAAACTTATTTCTAGTGAAAACTTTGACAACTATATGAAAGAATTAGGTAAGCAATATACTATGATGCAAGTAGGAAATATCTTTGTAGATAATACTAAGAATATTTTTAATTCTATTTATTTACTTTAATGTAGTGTCCTTGTTGATTCACTTTAGATTGCTGATACTTGTTTGGGGCTAATAAAACATAGCTCTTATTTACACTTTACAAATACTACTCTTCTAGCTAATGTTTAAGGTGTCTTTTGTCCCTATCTACTATATATGGGTGTTACCATTTAGAAGTTCTTGAGAAGAGCTAGGATCACCAAACTTTAGTGTGCAGCTTCCTCTTAACCTCATTTAAAGCAAGTCTGGGTTTGGATGTGCCTGGAATGGCATTGCTTCTTAGAACCCCATATAGGAAAAAAAAGTCAGTCACAAGGTAGGTGAAAGGGGTTGTGTGAGGGCATATGCTTGCCCCCTCTCACTTGGTCTAAGACTACTGCAGCCCCAAGCCTTCCACTCCCTATTCCTCGTTTAGGGAGGGGAGGACTGCAGTTTCCTACCCCCATTTATAAGGAAACATTGCTGATTATTCCCCCTTTGTCAGGGTGCAGGGGGAATATACATAGTTTGCTGTATTCCTTACACCCCATGGGGACCGCAGGTGACTGACAAACTTGGACATGCACCCCTTCCCTGGCTGTGCCCACTGGAGCTGTAGCAGCCATGAAGAAGTGTTCTCACCTGAGGCTGGGGCCATCCTCTCTCCCCAGTGCAGCCTGCATGCTTTGTCCCTTATCTCCAGCCCCACTCCAGAGCAATGATTTAAATGAAGCATGTAAACTTGTATTGTGTCTTTCAAAAAATTAAAACTGAGTTAAGGACTCAAGCAAATGCTGGGTAAATCTTCTAGTTTCTTAAGGGGAAAGACAGCTTAAATCTGCCTGGGGCTCTTATTTACTGATAATGCTTTGGTTATCAATACTTGGAACGAGTTGTTTATGGAACCAGTAGGGTAATGCTCATAATACTCAAGAGTTGAGGGCACTAATGTAAATATGCTAATGATTGATATCATGTATCTTTCTCTGGACAAATATCCCTGATAATTTTGGTTGGATTAGGATGTAATTTCAGAAGCTGGGGTTTGGCTCTATCAATGACTAGCACACTACAATCTAGTGACTATTTGCTCAATGTCCATTTTCAAAGCAACCATAAAAAAAAAAATTGGTCTTTCACCATATAGATTTGCTTGCTTTTTTTTCTGTTTCTGCTACTGTTAGCTGCCTCTCTAACCCTCCAGCTAGAGGGCACTCACCTTTTGGTGTGGTAGTTTCTAGTACATCAACAGACCTATTAACAAAGATCCAGCAACATCTCCTTCAGTTTTACATGTGCATCCAGAAGGTTGTTCACATTTGCTTTTCTTTTCAAGGAGTTGGTCTTGCGACTAGAAAACTTGGCAACCTGGCCAAGCCCAGTGTGATCTTCAGCATCAAGGATGATGTAATAACCATCAAAACAGAAAGCACCTTTAAAAACACTGAGATCTCTTTCAAGTTGGGGGAAGAGTTTCAGGAAACCACAGCAGATGGCAGGGAAACCAAGGTGATGTCCTGCAAAGGACACCTGGGTGCCCTTTCCTGCTTAATGACTGTCTTGATATGACGTTCTTCCCCTTCCTCATAAGTATTGGCTACCAAGGCTGGCTCTTCTGGCTCACTGTAGAGTTCAATGGGTACATGATTGCCCATTGAACTCTCAAACTAAATCCCACTCACCTTCTAAGGTATAAGCAGGCATTGCAACATCAAAAGCCTCCTTAACTTTTGCTGACAGAACTTAGTATTATGTGGATTTAATTAAAGCCACATAATAAGCAGCTGTTGTATGTCCATGTGACACCTGCTGACACAAGGAGTATCTACACTAGCAATTTCTGCATCATAGAGCAGTGCACTGTGAGCAGCTAGTCTACTGTGCAACTGGTCACAAGGTGCTTTTTGGGAAGGGTTTGTAATGCCTCATGGGGCAGGTATAGCATTACATGATTTGCCATCTGCTTGTCAACTAAAGGGGTGGTAGGGTGGGGTGACAGGTGGGGGTGGAGCCACAAGCCATGTGAACCCATCCCCGATCTGCTGAGGACAATCTCTACCCACACCCCAGGCTCTGCTTCTTCCCTCCCCACCCAACATGGCCTGGGGGACTAATGGGGTTGGGAGTCAGTGGCAGCAGTGGGGATCCAGCTCTGCTGTGTCCTACAGTGGCAGAGGGGGAAGCAGAGCAACATGGCCCTAGCTCAGTTATTTCCCAAGCCACATTTCTTTGTTTCTGCTGCAGCTTGGGTGGGGGGAGTGGTGCCCCCCACAGAGCAAGGTGGGAAAACACCAGGGTCCATTTGCTTCTCTTCTCTTGGCAGAGCACTGTAACCTTGGCCAATGGCTCTCTGAGTCAGGTGCAGCAGTGGGATGACAAACAGACCACCATAAAGAGAGAGCTGGTAGATGGAAAGATGGTTGTGGTGAGTTCAGTTCTTTTTATCCCCCTCACCACAGTACTTTTCCCCTCTTGAAATAAAGCACAAACAAAATGCCACTGACCAGTGATTTATAATGAACAGGTGAGGCATATACAATGTAGGGAAGCTTCACTTGAAATAAAACCATGATGGAAGAAACCCTGGAGACCAAAAATCAAGGTCTGTATCGTGGGTGCTGAGGTTCATTGAACCAAACTGTAACCTGTATTTAACAGGAAACCACTTCAAGCCAAGGGTGTATTCTCAGCACCCCTAGGCTGCATCAGACAGCTGGCGGAAGATGTGGCGCCTGCTATTCAAGTGCACTGGGCAGAGAAGTAGACCTATTTAGTGATCAGTAAGGAGTTGTTGGAGGCAAGAAATACTTGGATTCTTTTTCTGCTTACAGAAATATTATAGTGATGAACTCAAACTTTTGGACTCAGACCAATGACAAACCACCTACTTGAACAAAAACTTCTGGTGTGATAGTTCAAGAGTTTCAATTGCTTCTTTTTACTCTAGGAATGCACGATGAACAATATCACTTGCACTAGAGTCTATGAAAGAGCTTGAGGAATTCTCGTTGCCACACCGAGTCAGAGTTTGCTGCTGAGATCCTGTCCAGAGACAATAGCTGCCCTACACTACTGACTGCCTGTGCAAGAATCTTGGTTCATCTTGAGAAATGTATTAAAGCAGTTGTGTAACTTCAGCTATCGATAACTGGCTAGTAAATCACTTCTGAACACATAGTGGAATTGTGTACTCTTAGTTGACTGTTATTGGAACAAATTACCGTTTTCTAACAGTGATGGTGAGATTGGTTTGGGTGTGGCTTTTGTTTTAATGTATAACATTGCTAGAGGTGTGGGTGGAAATCAACAGCCTTAAGCTCTGCTTTAGTTTCCTGAATTATCTGCTACAGGGGTCAAAAGGAATTTTCTTCCCTCATGATGCACAACTCCCCCTGTGTAGTCTGGAGAGGGTTTTGTATTTCTTCTGACACATCTGTCCCCAGTAGTCTGAGCCATCCTGGAATAATGGATGGGGAGAACCTGGGCTCTTTCTGCTTAGCTAGCCCATTCTGGGGGTTCTAGCTGAACACTCTGAGCTTATAAAGGAATTTCCCCTGACCAAACAGGGAATAGCCTTGGGAGGAGAGAAGGTCACACCTGTAGGCAGCAGATGAAGGCAAGTCACCCACTTACTTGGGTCTATCTCACTTAACAATTTCTGGAGTGTGGGGGTCTTGATCTCTGGTTAGTATTTTACATTTTTTCTCAGTCTGTGGCACATCACAGCCCCATGGTGACTAGACTGTTATAGTTTCAGCTGACTTAGGTGGAATGTATATATGATAGATCCACTACATCATCTGGTCTGTCTAGCCTTAAACTTTGATTCCAGTGTAATTCTCCTCCTTTCCCCCCCCCCCCCCTTCTTCCCTGGGTTACTTAAGAGCAGGTCATACTCACCTGTATAGCTGAGAGCCTCATGGCTTTTTTACACACAAGGAGATCCGGAGTAACCTGGTGGTGGGGATTAGTTGGGGATTCACTATCCTGCAGTCCCTTGCTCCTAAAAAAATATGCAGTAGTGATGCCTCCACTGGCTGTCCCTGTACACACTTATTCCTGAAGGCTCCCAAGGCACACCATAACTTTTCCAGAACTAACTCCAAGACAACAGTTTTATAAAAAAATAAGCTATATAACTGCTTAAATAACACCTTTACTTAACAATTTTTTAAAAAGCAGGTTTAATAGATACATTTTCTTTCTGTGTACTTCTCATTTGGCATTTGTACTGCCACCATTTATCCCACCCCAGTGTGTGCACTCCTCTAGAGTGAGTTGGACACTTGCTGGCAGGGGCATGCTGGAAGGCCTGTAGCTGGAGTGGAGACAGCACAGTGCAGGTTCTGTGTGTTAGTCCAAGCTGAGCCGCCAGCTGCAAAATCCCTCTGCCACTGGAACAAGCCCCATCAAATGCAAGCAGATCTGGTTCCCTGGGTAGATCATACTGGCTCTCATTGCGCACACAGTCAGTTTCTTTTGTACCCCATCTGTAGGGGTCAATTGCAGAACTCCACCCCCCTTTCCCATTCCACCCTCCTCTTCCCTACTACTAATGAGCCAGAAGCAGGCCTGTGGGAACATATGCCACTGTAGGAAGAACAAATTGTAGATAAAGGTGGGAACATACCAGTCTTGTTTATCTAAATGTACAGATCATGTAAACAAAGTCAAAGGACAAGCAGTACAACTGATCCATACTGTAACAAGCAATGAGTAACCCCCAGATACTTCCAAGCTGCAGAATAAGGCAGACACATTGTATTTAAAGCTGCACCAGACCACAACAATTTGGACCTCTCCGATGGGCTTTCGGTACTGGCTCCTTGGAAGCTGAGAATCTTCCACTTCATCCACAGCCAAAACTGGGTTCCCTAGCTAGCAGGAAAAGCAGCAATTCTTACATCCCCTTCTATCATGTTGTTGTTTTAGTTAAGGGGCACAGCTGATAGCTGTCAGGAAATAAACAGCTTGTGTTTGACAGATACGTGTGTAGCATGTTTTTGTACTTTGATAACCCAGTGTTGGACCTGAGCCTTACTCTTGCTGGCAACCCCATCCCAGGCAACACTTTTCCAAACAGCCCAGTTATCTCCTGTGCAGGTTTATGTAAGCTCTTCACGGGCACAGTCAGGATCTCTCCCCTCCAAGGACAATCAACAGCAGCTCCCAAAGCAGCCTGCTAGATTAACCCTCAGCAGTAACAGGTTCTAGCTGCAACACAACAGCTCCTGGCCTAGAAAAGGCTCCACACTAGGGCTATGTCTACACTCACGGCTTCTTGCACAAGTAATATGCAAATGAGGCTAAGCGTGGAATATCGCCAAACCTCATTTGCATCCCTAACGAGCCACCATTTTTTTTCAGAAGAGGCTCTTGCGCAAGAAGGAGCATCTACACTGCCCCTTCTTGCGCAAGAAAAACCCTCTTGCTCAATGCCGTTACACCTAATACTTTTCAGGAAGAACAGCATTGTGCAAGAGGGTTTTTCGTGTGCAAGAGGGGGCAGTGTAGACGCGCCTTCTTGAGCAAGAGCCTCTTCTGAAAAAAATGGTGGCTCATTAGGTATGCAAATGAGGCTTGGCGATATTCCACGCTTAGCCTCATTTGCATATTATTCATGCAAGAAGCCGTGAACGTAGACATAGCCCAACAGTCTGGCTCCTCTCTCCAAAAATAGAACCAAGCCTAACTCTCTGTCTGCATAATCTGGAAGAGGCACTGTTCCCCTCTTTTCCCAAGGGCTCAAGGGCGTTGTAGTCTCTAGGGCTAGATTGCAGCACAAAGGATCCTCCCAGTAAAAATCAGAGGCCCCTTTAATAAGGGGACTACACTAGTAATGGGATATACTCTAGCTAAAGCAATGACACTTGCTTCCTCAGTAATTGCCATCGTTATCAAAAAACTGTCTGGTAGCTCTTAAATAGATCGCTTTCCCACCCTAGAAGTGGAGAAGCCCCTCCAAATTAAGTTTCACAGTATGTTTACTGTGCAAACAGCCACCTGTTTTACTCCAAACAGTATTGGACCACTGACATTTAATGTTGTAATTGTGCAAATCGTTCACCAGAGTTGCATCTAAAGTGCTAGCCAGAAAGCAAATATAACTCTGCTTCAGTAAGCAAGTACATGTACAAATTCCAACTGTTCACAGCTCTGCTTTGGTCTAACCGAAAGTGAACTAGAGCAGCAAGGGAAAAGTTTCCAAAATGCTGGGGAAAATAGAACTGTACATGAGCATTTACATCTGAACTGGCTATGATTGTTTCTCTTGTTCTTTTGTCTTGAGTTAATCATATTGATGGCCTGACCTTAAGTTTTAAGGTCCTGAGCCATTACACTTAACAGCAAAATACATGGATCATAGGAGTTTGTTAGGGGTGTTCCTCTGGTGTTCATCTCTCCCCTGCCAGCAGAGCATTCCACGATGGTGATCAGACAAGTTGCAGGTTATGGCTTACTTTCCCAGCTTTCAGAAGAGTGGCCAGAAATACAATCCTCAAGTGAATACAGAACACAAACTCTAGGCTTCAGTTCCCTGCTTCTCCAGTTTTCTTTACATCTCAGCCATTTGGAATCACCCTAACACATTAATGCTTATACTTTTTTTTTTCAAGACCTGTATCTAGTAGCTTTCTGACAGCAAGTGGCGGCCTTCCTCCTTTCTTAAATGATTTTTTCTGGGTGCCTTTTGTATGTAAAAATGGTTGTATGATTTCATTTACACCAACTTGGTTTCTGAGCCTGACATATCCCTTACCAGTATATGAGTACTACATTTCTTAAAATCACAGAATGAAACAGAAAATCACATCCTGCTGTCCCACCCCATAATGTCGTGTAGTTTGTGATCGGTTAGGTTAAATTTCTCAAGTGTGCATATGGAAATCAGGAAACATTGCAGGGGAGTGGTCAGCTTGTGTGTTCTAGAACAGCGAGCGTACAACTCACGATGCACTAGGACTGCTGGATTATCTCAGCCACATGGTAGGATCTTTATGGGAATCCCCACCTTGATTTCCTGCCCAGAGGCTGCAGGTCTGTAACTCTCCCAAAAGACAGATTTCCTCCCAGCTGTGGGGGAGGGATGCGGCTGCCAATGAAGTTCAAGTCTGGGTGAGAGCTCTATGGGCTGGATCATCCAAATCAGCAGATTTATCTTGGGAGGGAGATAGCTGGAATCCTGTAAGCCTTCAGACAGAACAGCTGATCTTCTCCCAGTAGCCTCATTAGCCCAGCTCAGTCTCGTGCTGGATTTTACCTGTTGCAGGTACAGCCACCAATCCTGCACTAAGTCAGCCATAAAAACTGAAAACAGTTTTTTTTTTAAAATAAAATAAGAACCAAAAGCTTCTTCATACCCACTAGCTCTCTCTACCAGGGCCAAAAATACAGGCAGCAAGCATGATACCAGCATGAAATCCCGGCCCCATTGAAGTCAATGCATTTTTCTACTGATGTTGCTCCAGGTCTCAGAAGCAACACCATAATTCAGCCCTACATACTATCTGCCTCCTCCATTGGACCTTCTGGGTTAAGAACTTCAAAGACACTAGCTCCCTTTTAACATGGCTACAATAGCAGCAGCAGCTTTCTGTCTCCAGTTCCAAAGACATCCATGCCGGTGTGCTTTTTGTCTCCATTTGTAGCAGTCAAGGGGTTTGTCTGATCCTATCATTCTGCCCTGCCTGGCGTGCCTCCTGCTGTAGATATTGTCACCAGTTGGAAGAGCAATGTGTACTTGCAAATAAATTAAATGTTGTTTCAGGTACAATATATCCCCAGGTTGCCCAGCTTCATTTGTACTTTTAAAGCCACATGTCCTGGGTTTTTTTCCTCTCCCATTACTGTGTGAGAGAGGACTGCAAACAACAAATGGGACTGACAGTGCATAAAGTATTGTCCAATAAACAACAAATAGAGAAAAATATTTGTTTAACCTCTTCCATTTATAAGAATCTTAGTGGCATTTGTCACTGTAGTTAGTAAAATAATCTCAGACACAGTGTAGTTTTTAAGTTAATGCCCTGTTTTTTCAAATGCCTTTTTTGTTATGTTAATACAAGAAAGACACTCTGACATCCATTTTTATGCTTGTAGGTGTGCTGTAGTCTTCTGTGTTAACTTTGGTGTCCATTTAAAACTACTGTTGCTCTCAGGTAAGAAGTTCTTCCGTTGGTGAAAAGAACTGAAGCTATGAAAAATGCTGGTATGGTTGAACTTTAAGATGCATTAAAATGGCAAGATCCTGTGAGGACAATTCATTCAAGTTTAAAGTGTTGCTACCACCTTTGAGTAGGTTTTATGTTGAAAGAATTAGACATGAAATGGATCCTCTGATATAATTTGTTCTTGAAATAAATTCCCCAAAAACACTTGAGTTCCCATTGGTCTTCTACAGCGAATCACATGTTCAGGTCAGCTTCATAAAGAAGCTAATCTAAACTAAGCTCTCCATTTTATTTTCCTCCCTCTTATTGAGAGTTGCTGATTTTTCCCTGCAGCACATTGTCTAACAAGCTCTACAGCATGTGTGAGCTGTTTGTGGGAATCTGGAAACTTGTCTCCAGTGAAAAATTTGAGGACTATATGAAGGAGCTGGGTGAGGGGAAAAAAATATTATGTGGGATTTGAGGATGTCCCACTCCTCAGCAGGGAAAATATAGCTAACTGCATATTATGTCCTTCCTAAACTTTCTTTTGTTGTTTTTATGGACTCTTGATTGTACAGTTCCTTAGTACTCAATAAGGGGAAAATGAGGGGGTATCCAAGTTTAAATTTACCTTAAAAATAGGAACTGTGGCTCTGGATAACTAGAAATGTATGTTCTGAGCTCTTTATATGACATTCTGGCATTATGTCTTTTTAGACAGGTGATTAGGCTTGAAAGGGAAGGAGTTGCTGCTATAACATTGTAGGTGTTTGTTTGTTTGTTCCATGGTGTGTGGGGGAGGAGAGTCTTATTTAATATTGGATGGCTATTTTTTGTCTCAATAATAGGCATGTGGCAGGGCACGTTTTGGCAGCTAGAATATACCTTATAAAACAATGTAAGCCAAAAAGACTGAAGCTAAATCTCTTCTAGTGTACATCCAGGGGGCAATCACTGGTGGTGTCTCAGATTCTCTGGTGTAAGAGTCCAAAATCTGGGTGTTGGTATTGGAGAGAGAAATTCTACCAATAGCTTAATATTCCTGGCATTAGAGTGAGTGTGTGTGTGAGAGAGAGAGAGCAATGGGCAGGTAACAGCTGAGCTACAATTTACACTCCTTTAGGGCTCTAGTCTAGTCTAAAACTTGTATGGCTTTAGGGTTTAGTGATTGGGTTAAATGTCTATTTTGTGACTACTGCTTTGCTGAGAGAATTGTAGTATCAGAATGTGCCTTTAATCTGAAAATGCAATGCTCTGACCTTCTTACACAAGCTCATTCTAGATTCCATGTGGGACTGGATTTGTTGGCTATTTAGGGAACTATGTTACCACTAAAATTATTAACATTTGGTGTGCATATGTAATTTCTACAATCCTGCCAGCTGTATAAGTAAAAGGTCTAAGTAGCCTGGTTGTCAGGAGGCTAGAAAGATTCAGACTTGGAGAAGCATTGAACCTGAATTCTCAACAGGTCTCAAATGTTGGCCCTCTCTGGGTGGGACACTTCATAGGAATGTGTTGCTTTCTGACAATGAATATAAGTGTCTTGTGTCTCTGTAGGTGTGGGTTTAGCTACCAGGAAACTGGGCAGCCTGGCCAAACCCACTGTGACAATTAGCATTGATGGTGATGTGATAACCATTGCAACCAAGAGTACTTTCAAAAGTACTGAGGTGTCCTTCAAGCTGGGGGAGGAGTTTGAGGAAACCACAGCAGATGACAGGAAAACCAAAGTGAGTACTAAAGCAGCATTCATCCTCCATTCCCATTATTCCCGTGAGGAGAAACAAATAGATGTATCCTATTGAAACAAAGGATTGAAGTAATGTGATACTTGGTTTTGGATTAATTCATTTTTAACTATTAGTGCCTGCTGCTGGATAACATGATGGAGCTGTCAACTTCACTAGTATGTGTTTTACATTAACATAAACACAAACAGCTGAGCTGAAAACATTTGCAGGATTTCTCTAGTGTTAAACTTCAAGCAGACTGTTCCCCTAGCTCTTGGATTCTGGTCAATTACTCTCTTTGCAGAGCATTGTCACCTTGGAAGAAGGCTCACTAAGTCAGGTGCAGAAGTGGGATGGTAAACAGACCACAATAAGGAGAAAACTAGCAGATGGGAAAATGATTGTGGTAAGTGAGATCACATGGCTCCTGGCTAGTGGTATTAACCATGTCTTAATGGAATTGCATCAAACATGATTCAAGCAAACTCAGGACTTCTACCACGCCACTTTTGTATTCCTTCTGACTGCAAGGACTGTGATTTCAGTGTGCAACTACTTTCTACCTGCTTCTAATCTGTGCCAGTTGGTAGTGAGAAGGGAGGCTCAGTGCCATAATCAGAAGAACTAGCTGGTGACTGGTTGGTTGCACACACGGCAGCGCTGTCCAAACTGCTGCTGTAACCAGAAAAACTGTTTTGAATTGCATAGTCAAAATGCACCTATGCTCAAGTGGAGGTGGGGGTAAGATGGAAGCAAATGAGAACTACCTAAAGTTGAGACTTTGGTTGAATGAGGTATTTTTGGGGGGGGAGAGCAAGGAGGGGAAGAAACAAGCCTGAGATGAGGCAGTGATAAGCTCCATTGTCCACTTACAATAATGGACAAACTGTCCTTCCCTCTTCTACTTAAATTGAAGGGAAGGCCAAGAACCTGGATCCATATTTTGGGAATTACTGAAGTACTATTACTACAGTCCTGAGGGGGGAGATAAGACTGACTCTTCATCAGTCTGAATCCTGCTGTAACAGCTTGAGTGTCAAAAAATTATTTTTTTTAACAGGAATACACCATGAACAACATCACTTGCACTAGAGTCTATGAGAGAGCATGAGGAAATTCTGTGACCAGGAGTGCCTCTAACTTGGGCTGAGAATGAGTTCAGCAGATTAAGGAAAGAACTAAACTTCCCCTTGCTGCTTTTTTTTTTTTCTTTGAGAAAAGGCTTAATGGATGCAGAATCCTGATTCAAAACACTAAAGTAACCTGAAATGTGGTTGCTAAATAAAACCTTCTAAAATAATTAAGTGTCTCTGACTAAATGTTAGTATGCAGAGTATCCTCAAGTGACTGCAATCTGTGACACTTGTTACTATGCAATAGAATTCTATATTCTCTTCCCCCCCCCCTTTTTTTTGTGGCTAGCGAATCTGCACTTAAGCCACATGGCTTATAATTCATATTTCTTTGAGGTGTAGCACTCAGACTGATAGGAGACACAAGCCACTTGTTGGGCAAAGACAGCCAGAGCCTCAAGCCCTTCACAGCAGCCATGATGTCACCATCTCCTTTCCAAGCTGTAAAGCCCCAGTCTTACGAATCTGTGCTTATACTGCAGCTGTTCCACTGTTTCCATGATACCTAGTCAATCCAGCTGCCAGCCCTGGGCAGGGGGACGGGGAGGGAAGTGGCCTGTATCAGCCACCCTGCCACTGTCACAGGGAGTGACATTGCCTTCCCCTCCCCCAACCTTGAGAGAGAGGCTGCAGCTGCCCCGCCCCCCAGGTACTCCTCCCACTATACACCTCCAATCCACACATGTACTCCTCTTAATACCCCTCTGCCATGCATGCACCCCTCAAATACTTCCTTCCAATATACACATCCCTCCAGCACCCTCCAGTTGCTCCCCTAAACCCCTTCTCTGTCAGTGTCTCTTTTTTGGGAGCCTGAAATATGGTAACTCTATTCAAATATGAAATGGCAGAAATACTAACTGGGGTATGTAACCTATAAATTTAAATCAGCCTCTGGATAGTTAATGCAATGCTCATTTTTTAGGTTGACTTGACAATTACAGTCCCTTAAAGTTTTAGATCCACTAATCCTAGCTCTCAGTGTTCTGTGTTAGCTTATTTACCCCCAAATGTAAGCAGTGGAAGTGTTAGTAACACTGCCAGACAATATTGACTTCCCAGGGTCTGGAAAATTCTCTCATTCAGAAATGGTCAGGTCCCAAGGATGCCAGATTAGAAAGGTTCAACCTGTACATCTTCACACAATGTACAGTCAACATGTGGAACTCACTGCTACTGCATGTTATGATGATTGAACGTATAACTGGGTTCAAAAAAGAATAAGCTAAGTTCATCTATTAGTCAAGTGGTCAGGAATGTAACCACATACTGAAGGTGTTCCTAAATCTCTGACTACCAGCAACTAGGACTAGATCAGAGGGGATGGATCACTTGATACTTTGACCCTGTTATTTTCATTCTACCTGAAGCACCTGGCCATTGCCTTTCAGAAGATAAGCTACTTAGTTGGACCATCAGTCTAGTCTAATATGTCTCTTCTTATATTGTTCCCTCAGCTGCTCTAGTTGTAATGATAGTGTCTAAGGTACCATACATCTTCCATAAACTCTGAAATGAGTCTGCATTACCCTGTAATTAGAACACTTTTCCAAGGCTCAAATACAATTATTTTCAAATGATGGAAATATTTTAAAAAAGAGGCAATTGGCAAGTACATAATTGCTGTTAGGCTCAGTGGTTCTGGCATTAGATTCTTCTAGTGAGGCAAATGTAGCATCATGAGCTATCAACCTTTTTGAGAAAATGCAATAACTCAAGAGCATCTGGAGTCCAGCAAATAGACAGTAACAACTTACTGCATGTTTTTTATTAAGTACCTGCAACAGTTAAATTTATAGTACTGCAATTTCTAATAAAGCAGGGTACTGAGAGTGTTTCTTCAGGCTTTCTCATAGATCCTAGTGCAGGTGATATCATTCATGGTGCACTCCTAGAAAACAAAAGAGGAGATCACCGAAACAGTCGTACTTTCTCACAGCAAAATTGTAAAAAGACCATCCCATTTTAAAAACAAATAGGGAGAAGAAAAATCATCTCACCTATTTTGTTTTTGCAAAGAAAAATGTGCCACTAAAGTACATTATAAGATTATTGGTATTAGTGTTTCCCCCATTCACATTTTCTTTCAATTTACAGAAAAAAAAATCAAAATATATATTGAAGACTGATATTAGTGTGAATGCAACCATCTTTTGAAGTTTATTTCTGTCTTACTTATATGACCCCATCACCACAGTATCTGAACACCTCATAATTGTAAATGAATTTATCCTTGCAACATCCATCTAAGTAAGGCCAGATTCACTCTTCTGGGGACTCTGAGCTATTAGATATTGTGAGGCCCCTTGGGTTCTAGGATGGGACAAAAAAGGAGGAGTTCAGAGTGTGTGGGTGTGGGGGGGCTGTAAGTTGAGACGGGGGCTGGATGTGGGAGGAGATGAGGGCTCTGACTGGGGGGCTGGAGGCTCTGCAAGGGAGCTGGGATGAGGTGTTAGGGATGCAGGAGGGGGCTCCAGATTGGAGCCAACAAGTATGGAGTGCAGAAGGAGGTTCAGAGTAGGTGCTGGGAGTGCAAGGTGTGGGAAGCAGTTAGGGTGCAGGAGGGGGACGAGGTGGGGGTGTAGGGTCTAAGCAGGAGTTGGGGCTTAGAATTGGGGCAGGGAGTTGGGGGGGCAGGGTGCTTACCTGGGGCAGCTTCCCTTTTGTGGTGCAGGCCCCAGGGAGAGGAAGGGGCAGGTGGCTCTGTGTGCTGTCCTGTGCTCACTCACAGGCATCACCTTCCACAGCTCCAATTGGCTGTGATACCCAGCCAACGGGAGCTGCGGTAGTAGAGCCTGCGATCAAAGGAAGCACACAGACAAAGCTTTCCAGCACTTACAACTCCAGCCCAGGCAGGGGAAACAGCAGTGTTCAGAGCTGTGTACTGCTTCCCCTCCCCCTGCTAGGCAGGGCTGAAACACAGGGGATTTAATGGCTGTAGTCTGGGCCCCACAAAAAGATGTGCACTTTTGGCAGCCTGGAGATCTTTTTTGTGGGGTCCTGCTTAGCCCAGGGCCCTGGTCTGCAGCCTCTGAGGCCCCTTTCTTATGCTGGCCCTGCTTCTAAGATATGGAGGTATTATTATCAATCTCAGTTTTACAGACAGGGAACTGAAGCACAGAGAGTCTAAGTCTCAAAGATACTTAGATCCCTAATTCTCATTGAAATCAACAGATATTAGGTCTCTAAGTAGCTTTTAGGATCTGGATCTAAAAGTAACTTGCCAAAAATTATAAAGGAGGTGTGTGCTGGAGTAGAGATTTGAATACACATCTTCTGGGCTCTACACTAAGCACCTGGTCAACTTTCCTCTTCTCTCATATTCCATAATATTAACTTAATTCAAGCTTTTTTCTAATATTCTCTTTCTGCCCCAGGCCACTAAGCACATTTCTAACATACGCCACATTTATTTCAGAACAAAATTGAATGTATAATTAAACGATAACTGCTTAGATGGTCTTTATATTTGCATTACTGGGTGATCACATAACTAGAATGAATTCACTCACCACCACCATCTTCCCATCCACCAATTGTCTCTTTATTACGGTCTCTTTGCCATCCCAGTTCTGGACCTGATTTAATGCCCCATTTTCTAAGGTCACAATGCTCTGAAGAAATGAAAGGAGGTAAAAGATGAGTATCCTGCCCAGATTATTATTTTTTTCAGAGCAGAGGCATACAGCTCCCAGTCAGTAGGAGGTCTCAGTTTTGCTAGTTGCTGTACAAACATATATTAAAAGACAGCTCCTGATGACTAAACAAGTGATTCACTCAGCACACAGAGGTGGTTTCTGTTTTACACAGCTGTTCATCATGTAGGTGTCTGGAGATCTTTTGTGTAAAATACATGGGCAATGATAAGTATTAGCCCTATTTAACATTGTTATTCATATTTTTGGAAATACATATATAAAATCACTTCTGATAACATTTGTGGATGAAACAGATTGCTGGAATGGTAATTAATGAGGACAAAACAATATGGATTGGTTAGTAAACTGGGCCCATTCAAACAAAAGGCATTTTATTACAGCCAAATAGAAAGTGGTAGACCTAGAAGAAGAAATGCAGATGTTAGCTACAGAATAGAGGCTAGTGTACTGCATGTGAAGCCACTACTTTATGTGTACTTCATGGAATCTGGCTCCCCCCGTTTTATATAAAAGCTCTATCTAAGTTGCACTGAGTTTCCCACGTGTATTATTTAATTATCCAGTCTGGTAATTAGAAGATGTGTTTTCATCATGTGGAAAAGAACTGTTATGCCCGTTGCAGCAGATTGGGAGCACTGTGAAGGAAAGCTTTAATCCGCACCTTTGTTTTCCGGTCATCTGGTGTGGTTTCATCAAACGCCTCCCCAAGCTTGAAGGAGATCTCATTATTTTTAAAGGCACTCTTGGTTTTGATGGTTACCATATCACCGTCAGCACTGATGGTCATGCTGGGTTTTGCTAGCCTGCCCAGTTTCCTGGTGGCTAAGCCCACTCCTGTAAACAAGAGAATTCAGATCTCTTAATTGCTACCAGGAAAAAGAAATATTATGGATTTCAGCGTCTCAGGAAGGAGAACAGTGATAGCGGTGGGAATGGACAAACATCCTCAGATGCTTACATAGATCTTAATATTTCCAGTTATTAGCAATTTCCTACTGAGGAATGGGCTCAATTTATTGCTCACTGAAGTCAATGGGCTTTAAATCAGGACAATAGACATTAAGCAAGAAAAACTGCCATGATCACAATGAAGAACTTTAATGCATGCAGGAGGTCAGGCTAGATCATCACAATCTCCCTTCTGGCCTTAGCATCTATGAGTCTCTGAATCTGTGATTTAACTCTGTGTAGTCAGTCAGAAAAAATACCCAGCTAGTAAACTGAGGCATGCATATTCATACAAAATAATATAGACATCTTCCTCATTCCCCACACCATACTTTTAATTAGATATTATGTAACTGAATAGTCATGTAACTGCATGAAATCTTAGCACTCCTGGCCCCACTCTCAGGGAGTCCCATGCCACCCAATGCTGCTGCCCTCTCCTTGCTGTGGACAGGGCCAGCTGCTGCAGACAGCTTCTGTCTGTGGCACGCGCAGAACTCCGTAGACAGGGGCTGCTGCCGTGGTCCAGCCTCTGTCTGCGGTGAACCTGGACCACTGTGAACAGAGGTTGCTTTGCATCAGCCTTTCCTGCCCCTCCTCCCTCTGCACTGCTGCCTCTGATAGAGGTAGCAGCTCAGGGAAGAGGGCAGGTGGCACTGTGGAGCTGTGGGAAATGGCTTTTAAGCCAGCTCATCCTAGCACCAGCTACTGCCTGCTCCCACTCGCTGCCTCGGTAGGAGGCAGAAAGGGGTGGAGCAGGAAGGTCCACAGAGCCGGCACACCAGGGGGGAGCCTGCTTGAAAGCAGGCTCCCTGCGTGTATTGTCTCCAGCCTGACCCCTCACCCTCTGTGCTGCTTCCTCTATCAGAAGCAGCAGTGCGGGGCAGAGAGAGGCAGATCTGGTGCTTGTGGGGAGCCTGCTTAAAGCCGGCTCCTCATGGGCACTGGCTCCTGCGCTCCCCCGCCCATTGCCTCTGATACCGAGGCAGCGTGTGTGTGTGTGGGGGGGAGAGTGTGTGTAATTGACAAGATTAACTAATAAATCCAGGTTTATCTGTTAATCATGTAGTCAACTTCACGTTGACATTCCTACTTTTAATATCTACCTCATAAAGTTTGCTATAAGGTTCCCAGAAAAAGTTTGAAATATACCTGGGTACCTTGCACTTCAGAATGCACTTCATGAGGCAAGATTAAAGGTATGGCTTACATACTCAATCTCCTCTGTGTGACCTGATCATGGCAAGGACTTGTTTATTCATTGCTTGCAGTCTTACCTTTGTTGGATAAAGCACTACAGTGACTGACCAATGAATGGAAAGTTGAACACAAAAGAGGCTTTGTGTTTTGGGGGAATAATTATTAGTTAAACCCTTTGTTCCCACAAAGCACAAAGACAAACTGATCCCTTCAGAGTTTATGCCTCAAAAAGCCTGCATCAAAGAAGGATTCCGCACCAAAACAAGGTGAAATAATTTATTAGGGAAGATCTGGTGAGCTTTTGAGACATCCCTAGAAAAAATGTTAATGGATAGACAGGAGTGGTGTTTATAGGATTGTTCAAATCTGGGTTATATTGTGCCTAAACCACTACATTTTGGGGGAGGGCTTGCCTTACAATTGCAAGTTTTATGAAGTTAGATGCAGAGAAAGAGCCGTGTCTCAGAATGGTGTAAGCAGCGTGAGAGGCAGACTGTAGAAACAAGTCAGCAATTGTCAGTTGGTACTAGTGAATCAGTGATGTCATTGTCATGGTACTGTCATATCTGCGGTTTGAGATTTGTTTGGTAGTTCTATTAAGGAAAACCCAATATTAAGTCATTGCAAAAATGATGCTAATTTAAATTGATTGGCTCTATTCAGCAACTTAAGAACATGTATCGTCATTTCTCCTCTTATTTGCAGTGGCTTCTTCCAATTCTTGGCTTAGTTGAAGGGGGTCTTAGTGTTTTAACAGAGTTTTACACGTATTGCATTTGGCTCCATTGCTCAGTATCCTGAACTAAATTTTATACCATGAAAGTATACATTTAGTCATTAAACAGCGATAACTACCAAAAAATGCCCCCCACTTCTTTTTACGTTATTTCAGGAAAGGAATCGGGGAGTGGGAATTGTCTTTAACACAACAACCTCGCCCTAGCATGTTTTCAAACAATATACTAATTAAGTTAGTTTATAAATACCATGGGCTTTTTTCAAGTATAGAAAATTATCTGGGCAATTCCCAGGCATTGAAGGATCGATACTTGCAGTGTCATTTGGAGTCCACTACAATGGTGAATATCTTAAACAAAAAGCAGTTCTACCACTTACCATAGCTTATTCTACGGTTTCATAGTGGTCACTTCATTGTCCTTGTAAGTGACAAGAAAGCAAGAGAGCCCCAGATTATTTCTACTTAAAAACAATGTACATTGAAGAGAGAACGGACATTTCAAATTAAAAGAAAAAGTATTCAAACCCTATACTATTTCTCACCTAATTCTTTCATGTATGCATCAAAGTTTTCACATGAGGTTGATTTCCAGGTACCCAGGAGATGATCAACCATTTTGTCCAATTTAATGGAGCACTGCCTCTGAAAGGAGAAAAAAACAACTGCTTTAATGGCTTGATCCAAAGCCCAGCGAAGTCAATGGGAATCTTTCCAATAGCCTCTGTGAGTTTTGGATTAGCCCCTAAGCATGTGGTGTGTAATGCACAGCCACAGGGAGTAATATCTTGTTTCCATATGCCCTGAATATCTGCTGTCCAGGGCAGAACAGTGTCTTCAGAAACCTCCATTACTAACCCTTCACATTTATCCCAGCATTTCCTTGCAAAGACAATCAACACCATATAATGAACTATTAAAACCTAACAGGGAAAAGCAGCCTGGCTGAGAACTAATAAACGCAGCAGCCAGAACAAAAGGGAACAACGATTCTGCAGTAGGAATGGATCTCCTTCCTTCTTCCCCACTTTCCTCCAAAGGACATAAAATTTCACAATGAAATACAGATATGTTTTGTTTGATTGGTTACTAGAAGATTTACTTGATGTTGCTCGGGTCCTTCAGGACAGGGGGCTAGGAGTGTGTGTGTGGGAGTTCAGGAATCAGGGCAGGGAGCTCAGGGCAGGGGATGGCAGTGCAGGAGTCAGGACAGGAGGTTGGGAGGTGTGTGGGGGGGGTCAGGGCAGGGAGAGGAAGGCGCAGCAGCCAGGGCAGGGGGTAGGAGGCTCAGGGTAGGGATTTTGGAGGGGTGGGGAGGCTCAGGGGCAGGGATGGAGGTATAAGAGTCAGGGCAAGGGCTGGAGGGCTCAGGGAAGGAGGTGGGGACCAGCCCAAGGTGGCACGGACCGCACAGCCTGGCTAGTGATGTTGCTCCCTGGGGCTGGCCTGGGGTGGCAGGGGCCATGCTGTCTGGCTGGTAGCTGCTCTCCAGGGCACACCAGGCCAGCAGGTATCGCACTGACCGGCTGGTGGCTACTCTGTAGCTGTGTGGGGCTGTGCTTGCTTGCAGCCCCCTGTGGTCATTCTGGAGTATAACTGTCCTTGCTATCACAGCCCTCCCTTTCCAGTTCATGACAAAAAAAAAATCATATTCCACCCACTTACCATTGTCCTAATGCACCCGCCACCAGGCGGATTTGAACCTGGGAGCTCAGGATAGGAGCCTCTACCCTTTGAGCTAAAAGCCAGCTGGCTCTCAGCATATGCTATAGCAGTCTCTTGTTCTTAGCTGTTGCTGTGGTCTAGGTGCGACTGCATGAGACAGTGAACCACTCTTGGTATGTGGGTTACACTAACACAACCAAACTGTGACTTTGTTTTACCTTATGACTAGCAGACTTACCTGCTGGGTCCTTTAGGGCAGAGCCTTGGAGATGTGGGGGGGGGGGGGGGGG